GTCCTCTCACCCCTTCTGTTCAACATTTATGTAAAGCCGCTGGGTGAGATCATCCGTGGCTTCGGGGTGGAGTTCCATCAGTACGCTGATGACACCCAGCTGTACATCTCCACCCCAAGCCACCCCAATGATGCCCTTGAAGTAATGTCCCAGTGCCTGGAGGCCGTGCGGGCCTGGATGGGGAGAAACAGGCTCCGACTCAACCCCTCCAAGACCGAGTGGCTGTGGCTTCCGGCGTCCCGATATAGCCAGCTGATGCCATCGCTGGCTATTGGGGGTGAATCACTCGCCCCCACGGAGAGGGCTCGTAACTTGGGCGTCCTCCTGGATGCACGGCTGTCTTTAGAAGATCATTTGACGGCCGTGGCCAGGGGGGCTTTCTATCAGGTTCGCCTGATACGCCAGTTGTGCCCCTTTCTAGATCGGGACTCCCTACGCACAGTCACTCAGGCACTCGTCACTTCCCGCCTGGACTACTGCAATGCTCTCTACATGGGGCTCCCCCTGGGGTGCACCCGGAGGCTCCAGCTGGTCCAGAATGCGGCCGCGCGGGGGATTATGGGGGCGACGAGGCGCTCCCATGTGACACCTCTCCTGCGCGAGCTGCACTGGCTCCCGGTGGTCTTCCGGGTGCGCTTCAAGGTGTTGGTGACCACCTTTAAAGCGCTCCAAGGCTTAGGGCCGGGGTACTTACAAGACCGCCTTCTGCCACCAATAGCCTCCCACCAGCCAGTACGCTCACACAGAGTGGGCCTCCTCAGGGTGCCGTCCGCCAGACAATGTTGGCTGGTGACCCCCAGGGGGAGAGCCTTCTCTGTGGTGGCGCCCACCCTCTGGAACAACCTCCCCCCAGAGTTACGTATAATAACAGACCTCCGGATTTTTCGTCGGGCCCTGAAAACCCATTTATTTCAACTAGCTGGGCTGGCTTGAGTCAAATTTTAAATTGATTTTAAATTGGAATTGTTTTAATTACGGCCAAAATATTTAATTATTTTAATCAGTTTTTAGATTTTGTATGTTTTGTATGTTTGTCTTGTTTTTACTTTGGCTGTGCACCGCCCTGAGTCCTATATTGGAGAAGGGCGGTATAGAAATTTAAACAAATAAATAAAATAAATAAATTTTACCGACCTCGGAAGGATGGAAGGCTGAGTCAACCTTGAGCCTGGTGAGATTCAATCTGCCAAACTGCAGGCAGCCAGCAGTCAGCAGAAGTAGCCTGCAGTACTGCACTCTAACCACTCTGCCATCGCAGCTCATGATTTCATCTTGAAAAGAAAGTATTATTGATTGTCTTATTTTCTTTGTTAAAGCCATCTTAATATCAACCTAGTGAAACCAATATACCAGATAGCTAAAAATGGCTCTATTCGGATTTGACTGGACATCAATCCAATGGTCATTCTCATGCTAGCCAGATGTCAGAACCGCTTTAATTGAACTTCTTTTGGAAGAACTTTTAGTAAAGGGCCATCTGAGTCCCAGGAGAAAAAAATAATTAATAGGAAAAGACTATTTTCTTAGACTCCCCCCATCCCCAAATTTCATATAGCAGGCAGTGTCTTTGCATCTCCAATTTGGGCAGATGTTCTGGACAGATCAGTTGCATTTGAAGCTGCAGTCCTGAAAGTATCTAGGTCCATGATGACGAATCTATGGCATGCGTGCCACAGGTGGCACACAGCACCTTCTCTGATGGCACGTGAGCCGTCACCCCAGTTCAGCTCTGCTGAGCATGCGCGTGCACCTCCCACCGGCCAGCTGGTCTTCAGGTCTCTGCCGCACATAAGCGGGGTGTGGGGGGTGTGAGGGGGGGCACTTGTGGGGGGTGCACACACATTGCATTTTAGGAATTCGGGGTGTGGGTGCACATTGTGCGCTTTGGGCACTTGGTTTGGAAAAGGTTAGCCATCACTGATCTAGGTGTTATGCCTGCAGGACTTTATAACTGATGACCAGCACACTGAACTTAGAAACCTTCTGAAAATTAACATGGTGTTATAGCATTCTATCACTTCTTACTTATCAGTGAAGGGAAAGAGGCATTTTGTGCCAATTGCAACTTCTGGTAGTCTTCAAAAGCAGCCCCGTGCAAAGTGCATTTTAATAATCCAGCCTAGAGGTGATAAGGACGAGAGTGACTGTTGCCATGTATTTTTAGATGGAAAAGTTCTTATTCCATTCTTCATCTTAGTTCTGTCATATAAACCGTCACTGAAACAAAAAGCCTAATTGGTTAATAGAATTGACTGCAATTAATTAACTGTTACTTTTTAAATAAAAAACAAAAACAAATCAAGTTAATATTTCTGAAGGGCAGGTTCAGGCTGCCTAGATCAAGGCTTTAACAGATCTGTTTCTAACATGATCAGTACCACTTTTTGTGAAATTCTGATGCTTCAGTAGTGGGCTGAGCCAATCATCCTTTTTCTTTTGTATGGTCTCATTGCACTATCCTTACTTCCAATCTGAACCAAAAAAAGAATTTTCTCAATTTCAAAGGTAGAATAGAAAAACAATTATGGTTGTAATACCTGATGATGTGGAAGGAGTGAAAATCTTCAATGAATTACTTTTTTTTCAGATAATCAATTAAACACTGCACTACTGTTATAAAGCTATAACAGTATATTTATAATATGTTATAAAGTACACTATATAACGAAAACATAACATATAATATTTTCTAGAAATGGAATTATGTTGCTGATGATTTAACATCTTTAATACATTTTCCTAATGTGTATTTTTCCACTTTATATATCTATATAGTGATATATGGCTTTTCAAGTCGTGGTAAAATATTTTGGATTTCTAATTTTATTTGATCTACGTTCCATTTTGTTTGTCTGCTACAGGAAAAAATGAGTTTTAAAAATTCATTTCATTTTATGAAATGAAATTCATTATTGCATAATTTTATTTGGTAGGTATCACATAATTCAGGATAAGTGTTAGTTATTCTAGGGTAATGTGTTGAAAATAATTTCATTTTTCTCATAGCAAAGGGATCTGAATTGACTAGTCTTATTAAACTTGTTAATTCTAAAACTACTTGTTATGTTATTTAATTCTATAGACATTGAACTTAAGTTATAATTGTATCTTTTATATCTTATTGACGCTAGAAGGTGCATTTTAAATACAATCAAACTAATATTAGTCAAACATAAATCCATAACCTCTTCATTACAAGGAAAAGTACTCTTATTCTATGCTATAATACAAACAATGAAAATTTCAGCTGCTTAGGATGCCATCATGGCTCAAACCTTTATCCTTGATAATTTGCTCTTAATGATGCTATTGGGAAAAAATGAAATAATAATAGTTTTGTACTTTTAAGAGTTGCACAGCTTTGGGACTATATACTACTTTTCTGAGTAGCCTTGAACTTAATCCAGGGTTAGTCAAACACATGAGAATTATTGGCAGCCTGGAAACTACCCGGTTTTTTTCTTTGTATTGTATCCTTCATCATGATATCAGCTTGCACTGAAACTTGATTATCCTAACAGGATTAGACATGAAAGAAAAGAGTCTCAGGATTGGGCTTTCAACTGAAACCCCACTGTGAGAAAGACCACACCACTGTCTTTGACCTTTTCTCTCCAATGCACAAGTCCAGTTGTGCCTAATCAAATGTCTAAAGAAGATCTCAGGCAGTTTGCTCTGTTTTTCCTTTGGCTCCTAGAACAGGTGTCTAGTTACTAAAAAGAAAAAAATAAACCATGGAAGTCTCTGATCTCTGACATAGGCAAATTCAGCCAGCAGTAGTAATGTAATTTAGGACAAAGAAAAAAAAATACTGTCACCATAAAAAGTCAGTCTATGAAGATTTTTTTAAAAAGAAAATACAGACTGCTTTTGCAAACTCCTATTTGAAATGAAGTGAAATAAAATCCTCCTTTGATTATGTTAGAGATGGGTTGGATGGTCTTTGAAAGATGTTAGAGATGGGTTGGATGGTCTTTGAAAGATCATTTGCATTATCAGAAAGTACAGGCTGGTGAACCCAAAGGCTGAGTCTCGCCCTGTGGATTTTTCTTTTAAATTCCCCACCCACCTTCAAATAGAAAGTTCGTATCACACATACTTTACAGAATTCTTCTTTTTCAAAGCAATTTACAGTGTGACATGGGAGCTTAACTTTGAAGGAATGAAACCCGCAAATTCCATTTGGTACATGGAGATAGTGGCACAGTTAAAGTTACTTGACTGATGTTCAAAGGCAAGTCCATCTCCTTAGGTCATGGGAATGGGATGCATTTTGAACAACTAAGGTACTGAATAAAGAACCCTGTGAAGACTCTGGCATGTGTCAGCAACATGGAATGGATTGCTTAGGGCTGCCATAGGCAATAAAGTCTGGTAGCCAGTTAGTTGTCAAGTAGATAGGACCAATCTCCATTCTGGTCTGGACTGAACTTGTTGGTTCAATCCATCCATACATTTTTATCTATTTTATCTACTAGCTTTCATTCTAAAATATCTTCCTTACCTTGAACAATTATAATGAATAAAGCCATTTCAACTGCAAAGTCATCCTTTCAATCCAAAGTCACATACACCACAGAAATAGGTAGGAACACATTTTTGTAATTTGGTAATGGTTAAATTAGATGATTAAAAACTATCTGTGTTGAGAGTTTAAACTATTGCTATACCTAGTTTTATATTAACTTCCTGGATTTTCGCCTGTACTTTTCAGATTCTATGACGTGAACCAAGGACATTCTAATTGCAAAGCATGTATTCTATTAGGAACCCATGAAGCTTTGTAGCAAATGGTCACCTCCACAAGAGCTTGCAAGAGTAGAAAATCTGGACTGACTAAAATAACAGAAGCAAGTAAGAACACAATAAAAAAGGTATTAAACTCCCACAAACTATTGATTTCCTTCACTGTTGATGAATAAATTACATGTTGCATGGGTAAAACATTTGTTTGCTAACTGTATTTAAACATTTGTTTGCTAACTGTATTTAGAAAGTACCTGTATAAAACCACACAGCATGAAATCATCAAATAATGGTAAGCTTGGACGGTCTTCACGAAAAATGATGATTTTGTAGATGCTCACAATCTCATTGACTGATTGAGACTTGTCTGTTACTACAATAATTACTATGTTTATACCTAATCCAAGTGGGTAATGTGCAGAGCTGTTAGAATAGAAGGAGAATGCAATAACAATAGAACATTAATGAAATAATGAGTAATCTGTACATTTTATCATAGACTAAAATATTCAAAAAGTATTTTTACAGCTGTAAAGGAGAGAATAAATTCTTTGCAATGATACACTGTACTGTCTTTCTGTTGTGTTTTCTTTCTGATATTTCCAAATGTCTTAATGTATAAATACTATGTCAAGCTCAATGTGCTTATCAGAAAAAGCAAGGCATATAAACTGCAGGAGGAAAAATGCATATCAGAACCATTCACGAAGCCTTAGATATATCTGTTATATTGTTCTGTTATAGAGTTGTGATATCTGCATAGTTCTTTGACTTGTATCTAGTTGAGTAGAAACTTCCAAACACTTGGAATCTGGACTTTATCAGGGTCTCAATTGCAGACTTCCTTGCTGAACATGGAGAAACTGCAATTTTTTTAAAACAGAACTATATATTCAGACAAAATACAGGTCATTGTTGACTTACAACATTTCATCTAGTAACTAGTTACAACAGCACTGAAAAAAGTAACTTATGACTATTTTTCACACTTATGACCGTTGCAACTTCCCTATGGTCATGTGATCAAAATTCAGATGCTTGGCAACTGGTTCATATTTATGATGGTTGCAATGTCCTGGGCTCATGTGATCACCTTTTGCAACCTTTTGACAAGCAAAGTCAATGAGAAAGGCAGATTCACTTAACAACCATGTTACTAACTTAACAATTGCAGTGATTCACTTAACAACTGTGACGAGAAAGATTGCAAAATGGGGCAAAACTCACTTAACAAATGTTTCACTTAGCAACATACATTTTGGGCTGAATTGTGGTTGTAACTCGAGGACTACCTGTAGCTAAATAAAATTATAAACCCTCTCCTTCCTTATTGTTCCAGTGTGCTCATAAAGTTCGAATGTTGTACCATTTTCTTTAACTATAGTAGATAAAAGCTACTTTGTTGAGACTAGGATCAGTTGGACTTCAATTTTCATCAGTTACCTGTCCTATTAGAAACCTTGTACCTCTAAACTTTCTATCCTAATGGTGAGGGAAAGAAGAAGTAAGTATGATATCCTTTCTGTAGAAAGCAGGCAAAATGAAAGAATCTAATCTAATCTAATGGAAGAAAGGAACTCTATCCCTTATGCCCCTCACAGTCAATAGAATATATGGTGCAAACAGTTAATGCTTCCACATCTGAAACAAATTTGCCAAATAAAAGAAAGTAGTTTCTTGTTGTTTAATATCAGGTGCTTATCTTCTTTCCACAGAGCAATCTTTTAGCAACTGATGATAGCAATTAACTGCAGAGATGCGGGTGTAGAAGCCTCTCTCATTAAATGGATTTGTTGGATGAGGTCTTGGAGGGAAGAAGGGACACAGTACAATTGCTGTGCTTTAGTAGGGGATTGTGCTGCTTGTGAAGCAGTGTCAAAACACTGCTCGGCATGCATCTTCATGGAAGCTTTGCACAAGTTTAATCCATACATGATACAGCAAGTCACACAAACGCTACAAATATAAGGCTTTGTACTCAAACACAGGAATCTGGTTTCTGCTCATTTCATGGCAAGAAATACAGAAGTGCCTGCACAGAGTTTACCTATGCATGGAGATGCAACTAGTTCTGTAAATTTGCCAAAATTGGGCCATTTCTCTTTCTCTTAGGAATGTTCGCACATGCATATTCGTGTTACATCCAAAGCTATGAAGACACAGCAAGACAGTATCTTAAAAGGGTACAATATATCAATAGATTTTTGTAGAAATTTTGTATGCTGTCATAATCAACATTGCTATGGGAAAACTGCTCTTCCAAAGCTTGGGGATCCCAATAATCCAAATAGTGGCACTTTTAATAATAAGCATGTTGCAATTTTTCTGGTAAAGTAGAATTTAAGGATTTGTATTATGCATCCCAAGAGCATCACCCACCATTCCAATTACCTTGGTCCATGTCTCTCATCCAAGTGGGCTTCACCTTGACAGTTCATGGGTTCTGCTCTAATCTTGATTGTCAAAAGATCAAAAGGCACTTCAGTGTAGTATTCTTTGATTCTGGGGTCAAAATTAGGATTTAAGTCCAAATGTGGGCTAGTGATGATCTGCTTGATATGAGGTAGTGTATCTTTATCTGTTTTATAGGGCGGGGGGGGGGGAAGAACCATTAAAAATGCTTACGTACATTAAATCAGTGGCTCAGTTCTATGTTTCTCATACTGTTGCATTCAATTAATAAACCATTCCTTCTGTTAGGCAGATATGGCAAAATAACAAATACAAGATTCAATGGATTTTTTTTTCAGATTTAAAAAAAGTTTCTCAACATAAACAGTCCCGTAATGAGCTGTTTTGAGGTCATATGTGGTAACCCTTTAATTATAAATTATTATTATTATTATTAATAATAATAATAATAATTGTGGGACTTTCGAATACAGATGGATCGTCACTTGGAATACAACACGCCAGATATCACAGTTGTTGAAAACCGAATCGTACAATTTATTGACATTGCGGTACCAGGAGACGCCACAGTCAAAGAAAAAAAACTGGAAAAAATCATGAAATATCATGACCTGGCCATAGTAATTACATGGCTATGAATAAAACATGTCACAGTGATACCCATTGTCATCGGAACATTTGGTACCATGTCCAAGAATTTCACAAAACACTTCAAGAAATTGCAGCTTCCTGATATAACACCAGCGGAACTGCAAAAAACTGCGCTACTCGGAACATCATATATTTTAAGAAGGTACCTGGTTGATACCTAGGACGCTGGCAGCAACCCGTATCAACCATTAGCACTAGTCAATGGTATTTGTGACACATTTTTAAATGTCCAGTTGACTGAGTTTCATTTTTAATGAATAAAAGAGAATAATAATAGTAATCAGCTTCGGTTTTTGACAACTGTGATATCTGGCATCTTGTGTTCGAATACAGACGAATCGTCATTAGGAACACAACACACCAGATATCACAGTTGTTGAAAACCAAAGCGTACAATTTATTGATACTGCTGTAGCAGGAGACACCAGAGTCGAAGAAAAAGAACTAGAAAAAAATCACGAAATATCATGATCTGGCCATCGAAATTACGCAATTATGAATGAAGCATGTAACAGTGATACCCATTGTCATTTATTTATTTATTTATTTATTTATTTATTTATTTATTTATTTATTTATTTATTTATACCGCCCCCTCTCCCGAAGGACTCGGGGCGGTGAACAGCCAAGATTAAAAAACATATAATATAAACATTAAAATACAGTTAAAAGAAAATTAAATCCAAAATGGCTCCCCAATTTAAAACGCCTTACCCATAACCCTATAATTAAAACAAATTTAAAATTTCCACATGTAAAAGGGGGAAGATTTAGGCCAGGCCGGCTTGATGAAATAGATGAGTCTTAAGCGCACGGTAGAAGGTGTGCAGATCCGGGATCCTCCGTATCTCCGGGGGGAGCTCGTTCCAGATCGTAGGTGCCCCCACAGAGAAGGCTCTCCCCCTAGGGGCTGACAGCTGACATTGTTTGGCTGACGGCACCTGGAGGAGCCCCTCTCTATGGGAGCGTACTGGCCGGTGGGAGGCTATTGGTGGTAGCAGGCGGTCCCATAAATAACCAGGTCCTAAGCCATGGAGCACTTTAAAGGTGATGACCAGAACCTTGAACTCATTGGGGCACTTGGCACCATGTCCAAGAATTTTACAAAATACATCAAGAAATTGCAACTTCCTGCAATAACACCAGTGGAATTGCAAAAAACTGCAGTACTCAGAACATCGTACATTTTAAGAAGACACTTGGGTGCTATCGAGGATGCTAGCAGGAACCCATATCAACCATCAATGCCAGTCAATGGATTGAGTTTCATGTTTAATGAATAAAATAACAACAACAACAGCAGCAACCACAACTCAGGTGTTATCTTAACAGCTCTTAGGTCCTTCGTTAGGACTTGAATGGTTAAGTTTTTACCATTCCCAGACTGTGAATCGAATTGAAGATTAAATCTTAACTAATAATAATAATAAGATTTAGATTCTTTCTTACCATGACTGCAATGCATTTCTTTAGCCAGATTTAAAATGTGTAGTTCTAGAAAATATAGAAACACAAGTTAGGATGGTTCATCTACTGCATCTATCAGCATTTGAGAAAAATGTCAGGGAATGTCCAAAAATCTGAATAAAACCCTATCAGTACTAATATATAGCCTTTAATAAATAACATTTATTTTCAAGAAATTATCTTTATTTTTGTTTACCTTCAGCTGACCATATAGAGTTGATAGATTCCTGATAACTAAAAGATTCCTGATAGTAGCTACATTAATGATCAAAGTAAATCCTATAATGATCAGTGCCTTTAGCAGGCAAAGATGTAGCAACTGGCTCATGAAATCAAGTAACAACAGGAGAATCACAATAAATCTAGCTACTTAAAAACACTTCTAAATAATTTTATGTATTCATTCAACAAATGAACTACCTAGTACACTTGACTTCTGCTTCACAGAAAAAAATTAAAGGGTTTTTAAAGCGAGCTGAAACATATGAAATATTTTCTGTACAAAACAATCCAGTTGGATATATATTTTGGTTTCTGAATGGATTTAATTTAGTGGCAAACAATATTAAATGAGTACAAAAAATTAATGTTACCTTTATCTTTTTCCTTGACTGGGGAGGATAACCTTAGTTGAATGTTGTCTTTTTCTGAATAAGAAATCCTAAAGGTTAAATAACAAAAGAATGTTTTTATAATTAGAAATTCAAGCACAATTCAGTTAAAAGAATGTCCTACTTCTAGGAATGTGTTTTTTTTTTCTCATTTTTAAATGATTTTTTAAAAGTTTGTTACAGTACGACTTACAGTAGTATGGGCAGAGTTTATTGTAGTCCACAATTTTATTATAATACTTGTACTGTTGCTATGATTGCTATTTCTGATTTTGTATTCTGTTTATGGTCAGGGCCGGATTTAGATGAAAAGAGGCCCTAGGCTATTCCACTTATGAGGCCCTTTCACCTATAGTGAAAGTGTAATTTTAATTTTGCTAACAATTTGAATGTAGGCCCCTCTTGATCTCGAGGCCCTAGGCTGAAGCCTAGTTAGCCTATAGGAAAATCCGGCCCTGTTTATGGTAGTCCTCAATTTATGACTACAATTGGATTTATTGTTGTAAATTGTAATGGTCATAAGTCGAGGCATCCATGTGACCAGACCTGATTTGATGATTTTTTTGGGTAGTTATTTAGTGCAGCTAAATGGCCACAGCTCACTACTGGGCTGTGATCTATTCACAACTGGGCTGCCTGAATACACATGCACAGCTCAACTTGTGCAAGCAGCAGGCCATTGTGTGTGCCCAGCACAGTTCAACTTGCACTAGTTGAGCTGTGCACACTGGCCCGCTGCTTGTGCAAGTTGAGCTGTGTGTGCACGCATATGCGATGGCCTGCCATTCACGTAACCTGGTTCCCCTGTCCCCCCACAGAGCTGCCAAGCCCCAAAGGTTGGGGACTGCTGATTTAGTGAATCAATGGTGGTTAAATGAACACTGCAGTCATAAGTGTAAACCCATTCTTCTGAATTGGCTTTTTTTTTTTTTTTTTTTTTGGCAAAAAGTTACAAACTACAGTCATGTGAATGCTTTAACCACTGTAATTGTTTGTAAAGGACAGCTGGTTGTCAAGTTCCCAAAATATGATCATGTCACCATGGAATAGGGTGGCACAATTTTTTATGACAGTCAGAAGTGCTTTATGGATCATAAATAATTTATTCTGGGTCTGTTATAATTTTGAACAGTCGTTAAGAAACCAGTCATAAGTCAAAGACTACAACTAGTGATTTTCAGGATTTTTTAAATGATGAAATATACTCATTTGCTTAAAATTAGTAATGAAACATGGAAAAACATGAAAAACCTTGTTTTGTATGTATATTTCTCTCGTTTACCCCCATTTTTAAATTTTTCATAGTCAAAAAAAATCTATCTACTAAATTGTATTCAAAAAAGAGCTTTTCATCCCATAGGAGACTATTATGGAATAATAATAATAATAATACATAAAATGAACTACAGAATTGCTTTAACTTTAATACAGTCATTAAACAATTGATCCAAGATATATAATCATCTATAGTATTTAAGAAAAGGTGATTAATTCTCATGTCAATACACTTTTATGAACTTAGATTGCAATTTACATCTTCATTCTCAAATAATTTAATACGAGATGCTTAATGACTCTAATCTCAATTTGAATAGAATGTTTTCTTTTTCTTTAGTGCAAATAATTGGGTTTTTTTATTGGATTTATCTAAGAATTCACAAATAATTATAATTGTAACAGAAAATTGATCATAGCTACAACTTTGTATAACTCTTAAGCTACATTTATTCCTTCAAGTCCGGCTTGATTCCTGATTACTTCATAGACATAATCCAAATAACAACATGGACATTTGTGTTCCTGCCTTCTTTCTGGGTGTTTTTTCACTTTTTGGTTCTCACCCAAGATTTGACCATTTAGCTGTCATCAAAGGCTTATTTCTTGAACGGTTTTGCCTGTTGAAAAATTGTAAAAACTATTATATGTTACTAATTCATTGTATGCTGGAAAAACAAAGAAAGACCTTGTTACAATTTGTACTGGAGTTACCTATTTGCAGAAAGAAAAAAAGAAATGAAATAGAACAAAGTGATAAATAGATAAAACATTTAGAGTGCAATTTAAACAACCAGAGAATCTGGACATACTAATAATTTCTGTGAGTACAGATTATTAAACTGTACATATTATCAAAAATGTTAATTTATCATATAAGGTTTCTGTAAACCATCACTGAAGGTAATGAAATACAATATTTAAAATTATAGAACAGCAAAAAAATAAGTAACTATGGTGTTTTGACTTGACTAATAAATTATTGATTTTGGATGGTTATAGTAAAAAAGATTGTTTATTGTAGAATAAAGTCAATGTTTCTAGATTATTCTATGCCACTTTGTACTAAATTGTAAAATGCCTCTGAACAATTTATCATCTACCTTTTAAATGTAGGTGATTAATTAAAAGTAGAGAATAAATCAACCATAAAATGTAGAGAACAAATCAAATATAAAGAATAAATCAAGCAATTAAAAATTCAAAATATGAGAAGGCATAAGACAATAAATGCAGACATTTTAAAACTACAGTGGCAGAGTAATTAAATCTATTGAAAGAACTTGTTTCTTTTATACAGATGGTTTTCTTTCCAGCTTTGGATAACTTCTTATTCAGACACCTGGCGAAATGCAGTTTCTTTCAATTTTATTTCTATAACATCCACAGGGTATTTAGGAGTGCAATTTTCAGCTCATACTCAAAAGTAATCTATTATGGTAATAAATGTGCAAATGTAGAATTATACTTTTAAAGGGTAGCCAATTTAGGATTATCTTGTCCAAATTAATTTTATTTTGAAGTGTTTAAAATTAATAAAACTAGAAAAAAATTTATTCATCGGGGATCATGGTTTTCTGAGAGGTTAGATGCAATAATGTTAAGGTTTGCTGAGAGGTATAAAGTGTTAGGAGAAGGTTTATCAAAGACTGCATTTCTGCAAAAATTACAGAACTATATCACAATAGCCTATTTGATTTTTTGTTGTTGTTATTAATTCCTCTTAGTATTTTTTCAAACTTAGGCCTTCGTTCTCCCCCCCGCCCCCCGACCCCCCCCCGATTCTCTCTCATTTATGCATAGCATCACAGATTTGGGGAAAATAAAGTTTAGCATGACTAATTTATTACAGATTAAGACACATACTCTGTTGATATGTTAAAGTACCTTATAGTTGAGATTTTTGAAAATGATGTCAAAACATGGATCTTAAGGATATTTTGATTCAGTGTTAATTTGTGAACAGTTATTAATATCAGGACAAGTAATCAAAATAATTGTCTAACAATCTCTTTTAAAAGATAATATGATAAAGTTGTAAACAAAAAAATTAATCAAAGTATTACCATACCCTTTTGGAAAGTTTGCAGATGCTACTTTGCTAATTCCTTGGAACTGTTTAAATAAACTTGAAAGGAACCAATGAAGAGCTAGGATGGAGTTAAGCTTTTTTCCTGGGTTCACTATACGATAAAGATCATGCAGCAAAAAATGGATTTTAGGAATAGCAGAAGGGAAAAGCTGAAAGAAAAAGCAATTGGGAACAATAAGAAATGATGTCTTTCATCCCAGTATTATGAAGAAACATTAAATAATCAAATGTATATGGAAAAATATTCACATTGGGAAAAACATTTGTTACAAAATAAAGCCACAAATGTCACATACCAATTCAAACTGCCCTGGATTTTGAATCCCTTTCACAAAGCTAATCAATGGATTTAATTCTTCTAATGTTAGGCAATAATCAGAATTCTCCTTGAGATGGTCATCCTGTAAATAGATAATAGGAGAACCTTGGGTAGATAAGAAAATGCTGATTCATAGCATTCATAGCTGGAGGGGAATTGGTACAATTATTTAGTTTTTCATTAAAATACTTATATAGGCATAACTAATATGACAAAAAGAAAATATTAGTAATAGAGTAGTACTAGCAGCATTCCTAGTCCTCTTCACATTCAGACATGCAATTGTTTGCCAATTTTGTCCAAGCGACTTAAAATCTCTTTGGTGATTTAGAATGAAAGTATGGCTGATAATATCAAAAGCTATTGGCAATTATAAGCCAGTCACAGCTTTAATACTGAAAACATTTTTTTTGTTTGCAGAATGTTGCCATATCTCAAGCCTTACCTTAATTCTTGCTGATCGATATACATTTTGCATAGCTTCAAAGAAAGTGGAAGAAGACGTTTGATTTGATAACAGGATATTAAATGTATCTCTAAGAAGAATTTCTTTAACACTTTGGTCCTCTGAAAATGAATCTTCATCAGCTTGAAAATCAAAATATTCATGTACCTAGAATATATATTAACTGATTAAAACATTTAACTAATCTATTGATCTCAAAATCTTCAAATGCATAGTTTCATCAGGAAATGTTTATCAGAACAGAAGGAGAAAACACATATGTGAACAGAAAATACTTCCCCAGCATTGTAATTTTCCTTTCTCTTTCCAAAAATCCTTTCAGCTAATCACACAGGTCACCCACATCTCCTGTTATTTACCTATGACAATTGTAACATTGTCTTACCTCAAGAACAATAGGATAAAAAGTGTGTCCAAATCCAATATCAAAAGTTAACATCTGAAAGCAAGAACTGCATCTGAAATAAGGGAACTGAAATAAATTGATTTCATTTTTTAAAATTAACCTGATACCCAAATTTAAAAGATATTATGAATGTTTCAGAAACAAACCCTGCTAAACTGCCTCATCATGGCATGGGGGTGGGGGGAAGGTGTGTTCCTGGGAAGGATGACCAAAGAACATCAGTGTGTATGCCAAGAGTATATACACCTAGTTGGAACACTCCAAGTATGAAAATCATTCCTAAAGCAAGCAGACACCTGGGTTGGGCAGCAGTGATATAGGAAAGTGCTGAATTCAAATGATCAGTTCAGGGACAATGGCCAAGGCATTATTTAAACAACCCCTGTGGCTTATCAAGAAAACCACATAACTAGAGAATACAAAGTGATTGATGATATAATATCTGATGATGGACATCTCAGGTTGATCGGCACTCAGCATGCTACTAAGGGAATGCTAAAGATCTTTTGGAATAATAATAATATTCATGACACAGAAAGATTAAAGCCCAATAAGTATTTAGCAATAGCAATAGCACTTAGACTTATATACCACTTCAGTGCTTTACAGCCCTCTCTAAGCGGTTTACAGTCAGCATATTGCCCCCCAAAATCTGGGTCCTCATAACATTTACATGTTATTTTGCCATGCAGCAAAATAAAATCCAAAGTGGCAAAGACAGAATTAAAGTAGGAACATGGAACATAGGAATTATTTGCAAATTATCATACACTATCCTTAATTTCACATGCAAGCTTGGGATCATCGATACAGATTTTAATCCTACATGGAAATGGAAATTCCATATGTTCAAGGCGGTTTTCAGAAAGACCAAGGAAGAAGAGATATTATTCTTGATGTACACTGGATAGTAAGAAAGCCAAAGAATATAAAAAAGAAATCAATATATGCTTCCCTGATTACAGGAAAAGTTTTTGATTGTAAAACTAGTCAAGCTGTGGAATGTGCTTTCCACCATGGATATTAAGCTAACTTTGCTTATTATATTAGCATTTTGTCTTTCTTTTAGAATAGATGTGCACAATATTTTTAGGTGAGGACAGCACTTGGCTCAGATAGTACCAGGAAAAAGGCAGAGCCAAGTTGAAAAGAAGAATCTATCTTCTTCATTATTTATTTTATAAACACGCTTTTCATCTCATGGGTACTGAGAAAAATTCCAGAGCAAAAGAACATTTTTATAAATAATATAAGATATTATTAACTACTCTGCTGACTCATCATTCAATCCCAACCATTCTCTTACTTGGAATTACTACTGGGTAAACCAAAGAACATTTCTTGGAAAACTGTCTATATTCATCCACTTACTGGCTAGTAGTTTGTGGTTGAGGCAATGCTGCTTCACTGAAAACCTCAGTTATCAACAAGAGTTGGCTTATTGCCTCTTTCATGTCATCCAAAGCCTGCTGAGGAGAAGCAGCCCTCAAAAATGTCTGAAAAAATGTTTGCAACTGTAAAGGAAAAAGAGAAACATGTTTTTAGAATGCTCAAATATATATTTCTTTAACCCCAGGGAATTCTCAAAATGTAAGATTAATCGTGCCATTTTCCACTTAGAAGAAATAGTAGATAGTTGACTATTCAATATTCTGGAAAGCAGAGATCAAGTTCAAAGAGGTTTGGAAGGATAGTTTTGTTCCTTTACACAGTTGGCTTCAGACATTACAACAAAAAAGTTACATCTGATATACATTTACATTAAATCAAGATCTCTGGAGTTGCAGAAATAATTTTATTTTCTCTTTTGGCAATGCAGGAGCTCTAAAAATGATTATTTATTTCAGTTTGAGTTTCTGGGTATTTGGAACATTATGATTTTGTTATTGACAAAATGGACAGAATCATGAAATGTCATATGGAAAGACTTTGAATTACTCACAATGGAGGAATGGTTGAGGACAATGACAGAATTTGCAGAGACACCAAAATTAACTTGTTTGAAGAAGAAAAAAACAATGACTACTGTCAGTAATTGGAAACATTTATAGACTTCCTGCTGAAAATTGAAAAAAAAATAAACTTCTATTTTATGGGTTTTATAATTAGGAATAATAGAATGTGGAAAGAATGGAACCGCAATATAATTTTAGAGAGAAAAGATAAACTATAAATGCATTCATGACTGCTATAAAAAAGATGAAATGTTGCTTCTTTATTTTTTCTCTTTTTTGTTGTTTCTCTTTTTTTCTTATTTACTTATCACTTTGCTTTTTCTTCTTTAAAATTGCATTGGTTTTCTTCTGTAAAAATATTCAATATAAAGTAATAATAATAATAATAAAAAGATTCACTGTGGGTCATAAAAAGTTCATTTATGAGCAAAGTAATTCTGGAGGTTGTTGTGTTCCCAGGTGCCTGCATGCTCATTCATGTTTATGGACACCAGCTGTTTTTTGTTTATTTACATTTTAAAACAATTACCACTTTTCATTTTCTCCACAAATCTCAAACTAATGTATAATCCTTTCATAATAAAGTAGCTAAAACAATGGGTTAAAGTTTACCTTAATTGCATTTCTAAAGACCATCGTAATGTATGTTTAAAAAATGAAGCTCAAACTTCCAAGCAAGACTGCCTTTCTTCAATCCTCTCTGCATTTATTTTTGTTCCCTAAAGTATATTTCTCCTTGTGCTCCATGAAGGATTAAAAGATGATAGTTTGGAAACAATGGAAATCTAAGAGACTTCCTGTCTCTTAGAGAAATTTCTCTGCCTCTTTGTCCACGGTATAGAAACAGATAGCATAGAACTTTGAGGTGAGAGAACAGAATTGAAAAGAAAAAGGGAAGAAGACTTTCTTTCTTAGGAAGACTAAAAAAATGACAGCTGTGCAAAAAAATGACCACATTTGTGACTTGCTAAGTATTTTTTGTCCTTTCTTTTAAGGAATAGTTTGTTTTTCTCCCTCTACATCAAGAAAACTAATATAACAAATATATGGAAAATAATAACCACACTGCACAGTTTTCTTTCATTGATTATCTGGTCATCTACTTATTGGTTAAAGGAATCATAATAAGGAGGGGAGGGGAAATCACAACATATCACTTGACTGAAAATAGTTTCTCTAACACATTACCTCCATCTACTGGACATAGAATTAAGTGACTGTACTGTAATAGTCAAACTTTTTTTTTTAATTATTTTTGTGACTTTGAGTCAGTGTTGACTCTTGATGACTGCTTGGACTAATCTCTGCAGTTTCTTGGGAAGATTTTGAAAGTAGTTTGCCACTGCTTCCTTCCTAAGAGAGAAGAACTGACTCAAGATCACCCAGCTGACTTTGTGGCTAAAGTGGGACAAGAACTCATAGTCTCTGTTTCCAGCCTAGTGCCCTAACCACTAGGCCACACTGGATCTCCATTACTCAAACTCAAAACAGTTAAAATATTATTACAAAGATAAATAATAAAGCAACGATAGAACCTATAAAAAGAATAAAAAGCCTGGCAAGGTAAATTTCTGATCTGCATATTAATCTTGGAAGAAGAAGCTAGGTTGATTTGTTGAAAAGTTCAATATAAAAACCACATCAAGCATCCCTAACTCTGAGCAGGATGAACAAGTCAATAAACTCTTTCCTACAACATGGTTATTCTGTGGAATTTTTTTTTAAAATTTGATTTATATGTCGCCCTTCTCCGAAGACTCAGGGCTTACAATGGCTTACAATGCGTTAAGCAATAGCCTTCATACTTTTGTAAGTCATCTTATTGCCCCCACAATCTGGGTCCTCATTTTATCTACCTTAGAAAGGATGGAAGGCTGGGTCAACCTTGAGCCTGGTGAGATTTGAACTTGCAATAATTGCAGGCAGCTGATGTTAATAACCGTGCTTTAGTCTGCGGCGCTACAATTTGAAGACTTGTCAGCCTTGCCTTCCTGGGCTTGGTTTGGATACCTTTCAGGCCAACTGAAGAAAAAGATCTTATTCTGCTGTGCTGCTAGTCAGCGAAAATCTAACATCTATTATTTCTTCTGCTGTGTTGGGATGAAGATGGGGAATAAACTAGAAATGTTTATTTCTTGTTAACCTTTCCTGAACTGTATATGGAGGTTAGTACTAGAAGTTATGTATAGTTGGACTTGGCCTGTACTTGGCTGGGAAGTTAGCAAGAGGCCCTAGAACCGTGATGGTGAACCTATGGCACATGTGCCACATGCTGCATGCGTGGGGGGCAGGGCATGTGCAGGGAGCTGTGTGTATGTGGGGGGCACGCATGTGCGGGGGGCTGTGTGTGTCCATGTGCGGGGTGTGTGGTGTGTGCAGGGGCGCTTGTGCGTGCGCATGCAAAGGGGCAGGGCACATGAGGGGGTGGGGTGTATGCATGTGGGCCGAATGTGCATTGCATTTGGGAGTTTGGCCGCACTCACAAGCTTTCGGCACTCAGTCCCAAAAAGGTTAGCCATCACTGCCCTAGGGCTATAGGCTAGATTGGCCAGCCAAAAACAACCTGGAGAAAACTATGATATCTCCATATACCAATATTTGCCAGGAAAACTGTATCACTAGGCTTAAATTCCCCGTGATGAATTCTTTTTTAAGGAAAAACCAAATGCCGTACTACCCTGTGATATTACTGCACCTCTTGTGCTAAATATCCATAGTCCTCACCATTGCTCATAGCAGCCAGTGATAAAGCACAGAGAAATCTTAAATACCAGCTTCTCCCCCCCATTATTTTTCTAAATTTAGTTCATTGTCCTTTTTGTCCTTCATAACAGATGAGAGAAGTTCATCCTCTCTTGGTATGTCTGTTTTTCTTGGATAGCTTGCCTATTTAAGCTAATGTTCTTTCCATGTACGTGTGTGATTTAATGCTCTCCAGAAACCTTGCTGGAAAAACTCTGGTTAAAGCAAAGATTTTTGCTTTTGCTTTGCTTCAGTTTTCAAGAAGGAAGGCAGGATTATAGTTGCTGAAGGGTGAACTCAAGACTATTGTGGCAACTGGAAGCTTCAGCTGACTGGTGGTTTCAGTGCTCAGTTACTGGATCACCTGGGAATAGATAAGATGAGCTGAAGGTTTTCCTTTCACATTCAATGCCATAAAAACAAATTTGGGATCTCTGGATGCTGAGGCTAAATTTAGAAAAATAGATGCAGAGTTTGAGATGCCTATGAGGTAACTTGCAAATGGAAGAGATGATGGTGGGACAGAATTCAGTAGCTCTAGACCAGGGGTGTTAAATTCAAGGCCAGATCTGGCCTGTGGGGTGGTTAGATCTGGCCTGCGGAACTACCCTAGAAACAGCTAAGGACCAGCCCACGTGGCCTCTGTCAGTGAAAATGGAGGTTGGGAAGGACACAGGTGGCCCTCCTGAGCTCTGTTTTTGTTGGCAGAGAGCTGCAGAAGCCCGTCGCAGTTGAAATTGAAAACAGAGCTCAGGAGCCCGTTTTCACTGGCAGAGCGCTCAGGCGCCCCCGACATGAGTGACATCTAGCTAGCCATGCCCACCCTGGCCACGCCCAACCTGGCCCAAGGTCAAACACAACCCTGATGCGGCCCTCAATGAAATCGAGTTTGACACCCCTGCTCTAGACCAAAAGAGAGCAGTCAGGCATGCATAATCCAAATACTAGCAGGATACATATCAATTTTTTAAACCTTACATTTATTGTTGTATTATAGCCCTCTACAGTTTACAATTCTCTTAACTGAAAATAAATTCCCAGCAGATGTAACCATTTAATAAAGTCATGAGTAATGCAGTAATGATTGACTTAGCCAGGAGATAAATTGCACTCCTTGATATCAAGCCAGGCTGATAAACATCTGATTATTTCCTTGCTTATGAACTTATGGCAATTTTAGCCCTTGTTCACGAATTTCGGGACCTGCAATACAAGGAATAATGTGTCCTTGGGACTAATGCGTTTGGCTCAACACAGAATTATTTTGCACTTTTTATTATTTTTACTGAGTACCTAAGAATTTTTGATAATAAATAGTGTCCAAGCATACAACCATTCCACATTAATTTGCCAACGATATGCACACAGATCATGATGTCCATATAGAGTAGTTGGCAAAGTAATGAATTAATATTCATTCTATTGTCAAAGCTGTGCATCTGTCAAAGAGATGAGAAAATTTGCTATTGGAAGATAGGAAATGTGCCCATTTTTCTATGACTCATCAGCAGTCCAATATTTCATATTTTTTATCTTCTCCATATGATCTCCAAAGCCTCCTAAAATACAGTTACACCCACACTGTTTAGCGAAGGGGGTAAAAGTCCCAATATGTCAGATGACAACGCCATGACCATGCAAGTTTGACACCCCTGCATTATAGTTTCCTCCTTCCAGAGAATGAAGTACCAAGCTTTCAAGAGAAGGTTCATACCTTTCAGGAGCAATTAATCCTTCTTTGACAAGCCCCTAATATTTGGACTGAGCAGCACACTAGACTAAAAGTTGCAAAGGTGCTTTGAAATGCACAGAGGCATTCATTCAGCAGTACCAGATGTAACTCTTTAGAATAGCATTTCTCAAACTTGGCAACTTAAAAATGTGTGAACTTTGACTCTCAGAATATCTCAGCAAGCATGGCTGGTTGGGGAATTCTGGGAGTTGAAGTCCACACATCTTAAAATTGCCAAGTTTGAGAAAGACTGCTTTAGAGCAACTGTATCCTTTCCTGAGGACATGCAGTTACGCACTGTAAATTTGGCCTTAAAGAGACCTTATCCCAAATAAAACCATTTTAATGGGAAATAAAAGCAAAAGAAACAAAAAAAAAGAAGCTCCCTGTTTTGAAGTGAAGAGAAAAACATAATTTTACCTTGACTGAAAAATGCTTCTTCTTAGGTGGATCCCAGACAATTCCAGTTGAATGAATGAATGCCTGTAAAGGTGTTAATGATGTCACCAACACATACACTTTGATGATGATGGAAAAATCTTGAATTTTAAAGGCTTCCTTATTTTCTGTCTTAATGGGGATTGGATGTCTGGAAAATTACAATATAATATTAGAAAGTTGCTTGTTCTGTGCAATCTTAACTAAAAAAAAGATATTTTTTTTCTGAGTGGAAACAACAGTCTATATACTGTACATGACAAGCTAAGAGGCAGACTGCTTTGTTCACTGACTTGGGAGCTCTGGTTATTTATGTAGTTTTGTATTTTATGTTTATTCAAAATGTGAATAATTTTGTGTATTTTATTATTTTTTCCTTATGAACCAGCAGGAATCTTTGGGCATTGTATCAACATGTATAAACATGATACATAACTAAAGTAGGATTTGATGAATTATTCTGGACTTTCTTGCTTGCTTGTTTGAAGCACATTTTGATGTTATGTTATACAAAATTCAAAAAGACGTTCCCTATTTGTGTAGCTACGCTGACTGTCAGAGGCAGGAAAACAAGAACGTTTTTTCATGAAATGTCTTTATTAATTATATTTCAGTTGGTTATGTGAATATAGAGCCAAAGATGTCCCTGATGCTGGACCAAGAGGCTTTGTTGCCTTAAGGACAGCTAAAATGGCATTCTGTTCCCCGTCCAGCTGTTACACCACTTAATTTAAAAAACAACTGCTGCCCCATTAAAATATCAAAACTTGCCTTCCTTTAGCAATAGCAATATCACTTAGACTTACTGTATTATATCACTCCACAGTGCTTTACAGCCCTCTCTAAGTGGTTTACAGAGTCATCATATTGCCACCAACAATCTGGAAGAATCTTGGAAGGATGGAAGGCTGAGTCAACCTTGAGCCAGTCAGAACTGAACTCCTGGCTGAGGGCAGAGTTTGCCTGCAACACTGCATTCTAACCATTACGTCACCCTGGCTCATCAGCCAGACTTACTTTCTCACATTCTTGTGATACTGTTTCATGATACTTCACTGTAAACATAGACCTGAAGTATTGGTATTTGATATTTATTTTAAATAAATTCTATAAACTTTCATAAAAATGCTGTAAATTAGCACAAAATGATATTTTCTGCCAATATCCTAATAAATTAATTGTTCCATGCTATTTATATTCTACAAATATGTACCCAGATGGATATATAGACATATGTAGAGTTTGATTGCTTATTGAATCTTATTGAATCTAGAATACAATTGTGATAGAGAGATGTACGCATACATCTCTTGTTTATTTTCTTAATCTGTGGCTCGTTTACAGTCATATTCAAAGACTAGAATTAGACAACTATCTCAACAGAATCAGGGCGCCTACTCTTTGTTTATCAAAGAATAGAATTGTTAGAGTATGGTATAGGTATAATAAAGGTTTGTTTATTTGTTTATCCTAATTCCTATCTGCATAACAATTTGTTCCCTACAAATATTTAGTCATTTTAATCTCAATTGCATTCAAGTCTACAATTCTGGAATCCAGTAGTGAAATGGAAGAAAATGAAGGGAACATATTTGGTCAACACATGAAAAGTTTACTATTGGTCCTCCACTTACATCACAAGAAATTCAAATATAATGAACAAAATGTAACATTTCATTCCACCAGGGAGATTTTGTTAAGAAAATAAAAATATCTTACTGGTGAACAACCTTGGCTGGCTGATGTAATGTTTCTATCAAACGTATCCTTTCATTCTTATCATATGAGTGGAGTGTATGAAGAGATATAATTTTTGATTCTGGGCAAGCAGAAGAAATAATTGGAAGATGCAAATCTGAAAAAAAAAATCCCATTAGGTTGGAGAGGTTGAATCAAAATGAAACATGGATGGAGTTCTAATTTTATGATTTTTACTTATGTTTAATAAATTCACCTGCTATTCCAATTAGATATCTCACAATGGCTTAAATGGAATTTTTTGTGTTCCCCATTCAAAATATACTGCTCAAAAAAATAAAAGGGAACACAAGCAGAAGACATCTGAGATCTGAATGAATGAAATAGCCTTATTAAATACTTTGTTCATTACATACAGTAGTTTTGTGTTCCCTTTAGTTGTTTGAGCAGTATATACAGTAAACTACTGTATGTAAAGAACAAAGTATTTAATAAGGCTATTTCATTCATTCAGATCTCGGATGTCTTCTGCTTCCCTTTATTTTTTGAGCAGTATATATCAGGTGTATACTTACTTAACTTTTTCACATTCATATGACATAATCAGTGTATTTATCAGACTTTATTTGTTATATTCTCAGCATAAATGAGATACAGTTTGAAATATGATACTGACAATCAAAAGGATACGTGTTGCTAATTCATCTTAGTGATTTCAAAAAGCCATATCCTAAAATGCAACATAATGTTTGGTTACAACATAAACACTAAAGAGAATGTAATGTATCTATGTTGTATTTAATCTCTCCATAAAATGATTGGATTTAATTTGAAGCATAGGACTGGGCTGTAAATCCAGTTTATTGATGTAGTGGTGATAAAACAGCTTTGTTTACCACCCAAAATGCTGAAACATTAAATAAAAATATTGGATATTTTCTAATACATCTGTGGAAACATTGCCAATCGAGACGTCAACAACACACCATATTTTGGTGCAACGTTGATAAAGTATCTGTAAACTGCCCAGAATCACTTGGATAGCAAGACGCGTAGGGTCTAAATTTGATTATAAATAAACAAATTGCTGCATTTCAGTTACTTGAATGAGACAATGTTTGGATGACCTTGTCAGGATTGAAAAGCTAGAAGGCCATGGCTTGGTGATTTCTTGAATGGGAAATCTCCAAGGAATAGTAGAGTTGAAACTTACATTGGGAAATTAAAAAAAAAATCCTTGAAAATAATAGTGACAACCCAGTTTGTTATTTTTGCTGAGTAAACAACATGAACTTGTCTGTGAAAGCATAAACAGATGAGTTTGACTCAAATAATTAATCCTTGAAATACCAAAACTATTATGAGATCTACCAATAGAGGGTGTGGTTTCCCTTTTCTTCCCGTCTCTTATGTTACAAAGCCTTTTTTGTTCATTCGTGGTGTGGTTTTTATTAACCAAGCAAAGGCCATTTTTAGACATTTCTGGATGCCTTAAGGAAGGAAGAGATCAAGCTGCTCCTGTTATTCTCAGATCTCATTACTTAACAAGAGACCACACCATGCTGAGCTGGTTTTAAGGGCAATCTATTTTATTTCATTATGGAAACTGAAAGCAAATCTTTTAAATTTTTTGGGGAGCACTTAAGAACTTTTGATACAAATAGTGGCTACAAATAGCCATTCCACTGTAATTTCACAACTAAATACACACAGATCATAGTGTGCATATACTATATACGGTAGTTGGAAAATTAATGAACTAATATTAATTCTATTGCTAAAGCTGTCCATCTGTCAGAGAGATGAGAAAGTTTGCTATAACGCAAGATAGGAGACATGCCATTTTTCTGTCATTCATCAGCAGTCAAGCATTTTGTATGGGATTTTTTAATCTTTTCCATATGATCTCAAATCCTAAAATAAACTGTCCATCCAGAACGACTCTTGAGAGACTAACAATTAAAAATAGAATAAAAACACACTAAACAGTTGAATTTTAAAACAACAGAAATAGCATTAAATAATACAGCATGTGGGAACATTCAGTTAATAAAACCAACGATCAGGGCCTCATGTTTGGTTGCAAAGCATGGTTGGGACAAGGCTGATCTCATTGGGGGTGGGGTTTTCCTGCTAAATGACATTCTCTTGTGGATGGGACCTGGAGCCTGCTTTTGCTCCTGGATCTAACAGGATGGGTAGACATCACCAGGGAGAGAGTCTCATAGGTAACCTGGTCACAAGTCGTGAAGGTAAGTCACCAGCATCTTGATTTGCATCTGGGAGCCTACTGGTAGCCAATCCAGATCACACAGTAGAGATGTCACTTGCGCCAAGCAATTAGCACCCATAACTGCCTGTACTGCCACATTTTGCTCTGGCGGAAGCTTCTAAATACTACTTGAAGGGAATCTCTTTTAGAGATCAGCTATGTCAGGGGTGTAAAACTTAATTTCATTGAGGGCTGCATCAGGGTTGTGTTTGACCTCAGGGAAGCCAGGGGGGGCACAGACAGGGGGCATGGCCAGCTCAACATCACTCTTGTCAGGGATGCCTGTGGTGGCCGAAGCACTCTGCCAGCAAAAATAGACTCCCGAGCTCCATTTTTGACTGCAATGGTCTCCTGCAACCCTCTGCCAGCAAAAACGGAGCTTGGGAGGGCTGCATGCAGCCTCCTGAGCTCTGTTTTTCCTGACAGAGGCACTGCGGGCCTATCCTTCTCTGTTTCCAAGGCAGCCCCATCGGCCAGATCTAAGCACCCTGCAGGCTAGATTCAGCCCACGGGCCTTGAGTTTGACACCCCTGAGCTATGTTGTTTGTTTGATTGCATGCTTCTTCCTGGCTGGATCTACGATTTGAGGGTTATGGTGAGCAAAAAGTGAGATTCAGGATAAGTGGAGATGGGGTAGAGGTGGGTGGGAAGGAAACCAAACAGCTTGAAAAGCCTCAGCACATTCAGTTCTCTGTTAAAACAAAATTTATAATTTCTGCACTGGTTGCATGCACCAGTACTGAAATATTTCAAGGGCAAAATTCTAAATGCATTATGAGCCACTGAATAGAATGAGGCTTATTTAACTTCACCTGAGTAAATACATTAAAAGATTTGCCGGCCGAAAAATCTCATTGTTTTTATCTAGCAAAGAATATTCACTGCATATGCCTTAATGTGTGAATCAGAGCTGAAATCCTTTAAAACGACATTCTTTTATCCTTTGTATTTCATTATCTTAACGGTAAAAATATTTTTAAAATAAAATAAATAAATGATTTTTAAAAAATTAAATCTTGGAGATACAGCTGGTTTTGTCTTTCGAATGCTTTTGATGTAGTTACTATTCTGTCCAAATGAGTTTTCTACAGGACATAGGTATGTGTCTTTTCTATGTGTCATTTTAGCACCCTAAAACACCTTTGCAATTTCCTTTAACAGCTTTAATTCATCTTGGTTTGTTTTCAATATGGATAGAGTGCTTCCAGGTGAGTTGCATGTCTTATATATGAAGATGCATAGAAAACATAATATGCTGCTTCCAGTAATTCCAGATAACTAGATTTGAGAAAACACTAGAATACTTATGAGATCCTACAATGAAAAGTATCTGTTTATATCATGAGTCTGTATATATCAAGAGTTTGTGGATGCATGGATTAAACAGAGTAAGAATTATTCTAATACAATAGAATATAATAGGATACAATATTTTCTATAAGGAAAACAGAAAAAGAAAATAAAAAGCAAAAAGTGCATGAAAAAAATTTGAAGAAAAATAAAAAAGAAAGATATAAAAATCTGACTTTTAATATTTTTCACAGCAATTATAATTACAAATATATTTTAACCTGTCTCTCTGAAGTTACTGTACATCTTATTGCTTTTCTTTCTTTAATCTAACATATCTAAACCATAAACCACAAGTTCATTTTTCTTTCATTTTTACTCAAAAAGTCCATAAGATATCTCCAGTCATCCCTAAATGTAGATATTGTCTATCTGGCTTTGCTTTTCACCACACTGCCTGCCTTCAGAAAATGAAGCAATTTCCTTTGATAACAAGTATGCACTGTCATATTTTCCACCACCAGTGACAGATATGCCAAAATATATTCTTCTTCCTCACTTAGCACTTCTTACCCTTTAATCTTAAAATGTCTCCAGCATAACTGCTGAATGAGTTAAGTGTTTGAAAAGATGTTCTGACTTAAAAAGCCATTGGTGTATTTGGGAGACTGGCTACAGGGCAGAAATAAAATTCACCTTCACCATTCCAAAACATCTCTATTGCTTCTGGTGGTTATGACAATTTGATCTATCGGTATTTCTTGGAATTAATGGTAACACTTGATTAAAGTCACCTTGCCTGTATGTGTGCCAGATTGGATACATAAAAACTGCATGCATATATTTAGATGCATAGACCTATATAATACTATAACCATTAGTTTATATCAGTAAACATAGACAGCACCCAAATCATTTTCTCCGGCCTCCAAAACCCTCTGGAATTGTTCTCCGAATATGATGGGGAAAAAACCTACTAATTTGTAGTTTTCACACTCACTCACCCCCCCCATACCAAAAGATATGCAAGTGGCAGGATGGACCTAATCAATCTAAAAAAATCTCCCAGGATACAAAACAAAAATCATTTCCATCCATTTGCATGTAAAGCCACTATGGTCAAAAATAATACATACACAATTTCCCTCTGATACATACACACACACACACACACACCTGTTCAATCCCTTCTTTTATAGAGGAGAATAATGCAGCACAATTCAACTCTCAAAACTAAGGTAAATGCAAATTAGATTTAATAAAAATAATAACGTCCTTGATTAATTCTTTAATCCATACTATATCAACAATTTAGAACAAGGATTGTCATGGTCTTCAAAATGGCTTGTTTAGGTCAAACTTCCTCAACCTGTTTTTCTCCAAATGGGTTGGAATTATAACTATTACTAATCCAACACAATGAGCATATATGAAGTTTGGGAATTATGTACATTGTGTAGAAATTCTGGAACAACATTAATTGGCTTTGCTTGGGGGAAATGCTGATTGCTATCTTGAAATATTCTTCAGAATGATACTGTTTTGCATCCAGAAATTCTGACAATTGATGATGTCACCAAACAGCTATATATACTTCAAGTAAATTATGCCAACAATGTAACTGTTTATAAGCTAGGATTAAAATGATTTTATTTGTACAATTTTTGGGTTTTTTTTAAATAGTACACCGTATAGTAGCCAGCTATCACTTTCATTACACTAGCTTTACACAAACTTCTTTTGTAAGCCAGGCTAGAACCAACTTTTGTGAATGTTCAGTATATAATTTTTAAAAACAAATACATGAAATAATTTATCAAGCCCCAAAAACTTTATAAAATTAAGTACATTAATCAGAGTCCATAAGGGGTATACTTCATGGGTATATTGACATATATTTTATATAGAATATTGAAAATATGTGAACTTATGGTGTTATATATCTATATCCGTATCTGTATTTATGTATATACTGTATATATATATATACTCTCTCTATATATATTATTAAACTTGTTTGCTGCCCAATTTTGCTGTGAGGCAATATATATACTGTATTATGCAAGGCCAAAAATGGTTTGGTATATTTTTAAAAGAATGGAAGCAAAAAGCTTATCTATGAAAAAGAAAACGATTAAAACAAAAATATATTTATACAAACATAAAGAGGTACTTAAAAAAAAACCCTGACACATACCACACTTTAATTATCTAGTGAATAAGTTAACTGTTCTGTAGCACAGTTTTAAATTTTTCTTGGTTTTAAAAGTGGTTACAATAAAAGACCACAAAACACTCATTGTGGGATAAAAACATTCAATTTTCAGATACAATGAAATAACATAATTTTCTGAAAAAGCAATACATCTGAATCATCATTGTTTTTTAGACTCCATTATGGCTTCAGTAAATAGAAATTCCAGAGAACTTACTTTCTTCTGAAAATGGATGTTGAAAAGTTCCCAGGATTAGCCCATGTAGTCTAAACAGTAAGTACAAATAGTTCTTATAAAACTTAATTCTTAGTTCTAACACTTAGAACTAGGTTGCATAAACTGTTTGCAATTCCCACTTTAAAAACATTTTGTTATGAAAACAGAATGCAGATTCAGTATTTCTTTATGTGAAGCTTTGTCCTCCGTTTTGATTTATACAATCAGCATGTTGTATGTGTGTATGTTTTGTATGTATGTGTATGTGAAAATGTGTTCCATATAGTAAAACTGGCATATTTGATGTGATCATAAAGCATTTAGTCTTGGGATTACTTGAACATGTTTTACCAATAACTGCTTCCTATTAGACTCCTTCCATACAGTATAATGCACATACAGTTCTCTCTTAGCAGAATATTTCCAATGTATTTTTTAGGTCGAGCCCATATTTAAGAGTGACCTATCCCCTTGTGCAAAGTACAGACAGCTGTTGATTATCCAACCCATAAAAGGAATGCAGCTGAAAATGACACACCTCAGAGTTGTTCATGGCCAGCCACCTGTTGTTGGGGACACTCTTTCTGGGGTGAAAAGAAGATGCAACTATGTGATCATCCAACCAAAACCAAAACTGAGGGGAAATCAGAGAGCATTGCTTCATTATTAGTAATTGCTTTTTTCCAAAAAAACAAGGACAGATGTATAGCCACTAGAACAACACCAATCTGCCAGTTGCCAATTTCTATCTAATCGAAGTATAAGACTGACTATTGATGAAGAGAAATACAGGATCTGTGGCATCCCTCCAGACATTTCGAGGCTTTGCTCATGACGCAAACATTCTATACAGGGAGCCAAATTTCTCTCCACGCAAGACTAAGGGAGTGTACCAAGTCTTGCAGCCAAGTCAGCAGCAGGCTTACCATATGCTTCTATTTGTGTGTGTGAGAGAGAAAAAAAAATACTGTTTTTTCCCCCTCAGAAATACTTTCAGAAAAAAGCAGAAAGAGATTATTTTAATACTGAGGTCATTGCCAGGGCCCTGGGGAACCTGAAACAAATATAGTATAAGAAAACAAACGTCATATAGGAGAGCAAGGTTCCCAAAAGAAAGGCCATATATAACTCTAAAATGAAAGGCACACAGGGTAAGAAAATACCACATCGCTTCTTCCTTTTTCACTTTTGCAGAATCCCAACCCATGGATTTTAGCATGTTGATGGCCTCTTGAAAATGAGCTTTGTCAACTTTAAAGTGTGTCATTACAAAGAATTGCTGAAGAACAGCAGCATATCCCATGAAGATGTCCAAAAATGGATGGACAATGAAGGTTATGACAGTGACTAAAAATATTACCAGTGTTGGTACTGGATACTGGACACACCAGCTACTTTACCATTTCAACTCTGCGTACTGAGAACTGTGTAAGGAGTCCTGGACCATTGGCAACTAGTGTGTGAGAGCCCAGAGTGTTAATTGTACTGCAAAGTGACCAGAGATCTTAACACCAGACCCAAAACAACAAGCTATCTTCTACCCATTAGCACAAGGTAAAACTATCAGAACCCTAGAATTCCACTGGGCAGCAGCCTCACAGCAAAACATAGTATTGTAGCACAAAACTGGAGAGTAGCAACTTAATTTATATACAAATGACTTATGCCAAGGTTGTCTGGATAAGGCAGGAATGAAGAAGTAGACATAAGAAACAGTAGAAAGGATGCAGCTGATTATAATATAGAACATAGTGAATATACCATAGAAGGTTAGAGCTCTAAGATAGGAGATAGAACCATAGGAACATAGTACAATATATATATATAAACGTTAACATACTATATAGCATTATAGACATAAATAATAAGCAGGACACTAATTGTCTATTCTAACTTTTAACTTGTCTTAGAAACCATCCTGAAAAATATGCAGGATATAAGCTGGGCCTATGAAAAGGCCTCTTTCTAAGATTTCTTTTTAATAGTTCAGTGTTTGCAACAATAGAGAAGCCCTTGTGCACATTAGATTTCATAAGTCATCGCAAGATCAGAATGTTCATGGTTCTCTTTTTTCTTTAAATGTGCCAGGTAACTTTACTCCACACAACCCGTCTATGACTGGCCTTACCAATGGTCAGAACAATTCCAGACCTGGCACAGATTGTTCTGTGTTGGAACCTCTTGATTGTTTCTCACTTGAAGGATAAAACCACACACACAGCAGACATCTGTGGAGATTCTCATCATTCAGGTCACAGGTGCTTTTTCAAAAGGCAATTGCACTGTTTTTTTTCCTTGAGGAAGAAGAAGAAAACATTTCACTGCTCATCCAAGAAGCTTCATCAGTTCATCGTCAGCTGATGAAGCTTCTTGGATGAGAAGCAAAATGTTTTCTTTTTCTTCCTCAAGGAAAAAAAACAGTGCAATTGCCTTTTGAAAAAGCACCTTTAAGATACACAGCAAACCCTGTCCTGTTACTCTCAGGTGCAATGGATGACCCTGTCTTCTTGCCTCATTGTTGAATTGAAATTCAAGTTCTGGATATCATGTGACATCATTCCACAACTTAGGTTGCAAAGCTACTTATGTCTCTCTTGGCTGGGCTCCTGCATCCAATCTTTTATTAACTGAAATGAAATGAAGATGATTTTTCAAACCTTATAAACCTGATACATAACTCTAATTGCTATTCTGTTTGACTCATATGCTTAAAGAAACTGCATTATTTCAGGGTGAAGGTTACAGAAAACTTTTCATTTTAAAATTTCTTTAATTACTAATTACTATTTAATTATTATTTCTACAGCCCCTTGGATTTTATAGAATATTGGACAGCAACTAAGTAAGCTGAGAAACACACGTAATTGAAAGGAAGAAAGAATTCTTCCTAGTTTGACAATATGAGGCCAGTGCTTTAATTTCAAACTGGGGTTTATTTAATTGAAAGTTCCTACACTGGGAGGAAGGGGGTATATAGAAAATTAGCATACAAAAGAAACATATTATATTAAAATGTTTTCCTATCATTTAGTGTTTTTTATGTGTGTTTGTTAAAGGACGGAGACATTCACATAATATGCATACCAAACACCAAATCATGAAGAAATTATACCTGCATTCTAAAGTGGTACAATCCAAACAGATTTGCAATTCTGTTGAGAAGCTAGGCAAAATCCTCCATCTTTATCAGAATTGCTAAATGACTTTTCTGCTATTATCGATCAAATTTCAAATACCGTAATCAATATTTTCAGTTTTACCTATTTCAATTTTATCTGGGCACAATAAAACTTTGATTTTATTTGATTCATTATGTTATCTTCAGAGGTCAGATTTCAGCATTTCTCTTCCTTTGAGCAAGCAACCAAAAGTCATTATTTGGTTTACTAATATAACTCAAAATTTTACCTGGAAATGTTCTCATTATTTGGCACAATCCTTCTTTTCTGGAAAGCAGATGCTGGATTTGAGAGAGAACATTTGCCTGGGAATGAAGAGAGAAGTGCCAATTATTGCAATTTTACAAGATTTTTTAAGTGCCATTGAAGATGCCATTACAGGAGGAGTAAAATTCAAATTTTTTCCCTACCGGTTCTGTGGGCATGGCTTCGTGGGCGTGGCAGAGGAAGGATACTGCAAAATCTCCATTCCCATCCCACTCTGGGGCCAGCCAGAGGTGGTATTTATCCGGTTCCGTGAACTACTCAAAATTTCCACTACCGGTTCTCCAGCACCTGTTAGAACCTGCTGATTTTCATCCCTGCATTACAGCAAGGTTTGCTGATAAAGGAAAATAGTGCCCATCCCAGTGAGTAGAATAGGAAAATCAATTAGGCATTAACTAAATTTGAAGAGCCAGTTTAGGGCAAGGATTAAAGCATGATAATAGAAACTGGTAGACTGGGAGTTCTAGTTCGACTTCGGGCAAAACCCAATTGGGTTAATTTGGGCCAGTCACTCTTTCTCAGTCCTAGGGAGCAAACAATGACAAATCATGTCTGAAATTCTTCCAAGAAAACTCCAGGGAGTTTGCCAGCAGTCAACATTGACTTGAAGGCAGAAACACACGCTTCCATGGTTTTTTTTCAATCAACCTTAACGTTGCTCTACTTTTAATTATAAGCTACATCTTATATCCTTTTTTATGAATATGATCACATTTTAAGGAAGGATTAATGTCTTAGAAGAGAAGTACCCAAGAGATTCACAGTTTTTATTAAATGATGAAAACAACATGTCACCACTGTGTCAGAAGCTCCTGTGATGTCAGAACACTTGTAAAAAATGAGCATAGCATGCATCATGCTGGATTGATTTTGCTTCCCAGCATCACGATCCTGTTTTTATTATTTGTCCCCTTGACAACGCCACTCCTTATTTCAACATCTCTACTATACCTGCATGAGCAGGGGATTGGACTAGATGACCTCCAAGGTCCCTTCCAACTCTGTTACTGTTACTTGGGAAGGGGAAGGGAAGGGGAAAATGCATAGGCATTGAACAGATTTGGCAATACAACACGAACTCAGTCTGCAGTATGCACCATAATATTTATCTTTTTATTGCTGTTCAAAATTGTACTTTTGCCTATGGGACATGTCTGTTTGACATGTTTGTAAAACAGCACTTTCCCTTTTAATTTTAAAGACAAGGATGGCAAGCAAAAAAAATCTGTTCATGCATATATCTGGCAAAATGGACATGTTTTATTCCAAAGTACTCTTTCTTCATTGGGATATATCTATAAATTGTTTAAATGTCTCATTTTTTTCTTTCTGCAGTGTTCCATGTGGTTATGTGTAAGAAAGATGAAATACAAAAGTCCTGTTTAGAAAACCCTAGATAATTGTGCCATTCCATGATTCTGACAATTTAGCACATAACCTTGCCCCTGATGAAATCAATATTAATGCATGAATATTCACATTCTTCAACATCTCTGGCAAAAACATATTGTGTTTTTTTCCCCCTTCCAGCAATGCTGGAAGAAAGATTTTAGAAAATGCACTTGAGACTTCACTCTTGCAAAGCATCTGCTTTAATATCAGCAAATTCCTGTGAAAGTGAGACAGTAGTAGAATGAAGAATGGTGCCAAAACTGGCATCTGATAGGATGCTTCATAATAAAATAAAAATGCCGAGTTTAAAAAAAACAGTATTTAAGCATGTGCCAGTAAGAGAGGTCATTTTGCAGCCTTACCTTTTGCAGTAGTGTTGGTTGATATGATTCCACTATATTTAAGCAATTTTCATGGTCAGCTTTGTTAGATGAGAGGCAAAGCAAAAGGTCCCAAGAACTTAATTCATCTGTGATAAAAAGAAAGTACCATAATAGGAATTAACTGTGATGAGAAAGGACAGGAACCAATTAAACAGAAAATATTTATTCAAATGACACTGTTCATCTATGGCAAAAAAAAAAAAAAGGAATGGGGTGAAGGTACCCGTTTGAAGGCTTTATCCTGTCTTGGGACATGTCATCAATATGATTCTGTATGGGCTAAGTTCAAGTTCAATGGTTCATATATTTACTGTGACATCTACTATTTTTCTTTTTGGTTTTTGCTTGGTTTTTAAACTTTAGTTTTGCTTTAATTTCTTGCTGATGGTACTTTCATTTAGTGCTGACATTTTTACTGAATGAATTTTGATGGTTAAGTAATAAAGCGTCTGTCCTTCCAGGTTATTGAGGTTAAGAAACAAATGCCACAAGAAGGGTAGAATTAAGCTTTATTAGACAGATTATATAAATTTTACAAATCTGACTGGCTGGCTGACTGTCCTTCCCTCTCCCTTTGTCTCCTTTGTCCCCTAAGAAATCAGGGAGACTTACTAGGAGTCTCTTCCTCATACTGTATAAAGTGAGTTTCTTTTGGATGCATAATGACAAAGATAAAATGGAGAGTTTGCTTATGTAGGAAGTAGATGCAGTGTGTGCTGTGTTTCTCACCTTGCAATAATCTCATAAACAGAATAGACAAATAGTAAACTACTAGGTTTTTTTTTTTTTAATTAAACTTTCAAGCTCAAAACAGAGACCCGGATTTCTTTAAATCCAGTTTAAATACAGAGCATAAGGAGGATATATCTATTCACCTGCTTCAAAAGAGAAACAGATTAGCTTGTAAATTATTTTCAATCATCAGAGTTAATCTGAATTGTTTGGAGCTGCAAAATTCCCATTTCAAATGCCACATATGTTTATACATTATTAATCTATAAAGAAGTTAGGGGTGGAGTAGAATCCGGACCTTTCTACTCCTAATCCAACCCCCCACATTGGTTCTAGTGTATAGTTCTTTCACTCATGCTGTGATCCCAGCCTCTCTGCCTATCACTTTCCTAATATATGAAAATTTTAGTTTAATCAATAAAACATGGTTTAAATTTCTCATGCAAAACAGGGTATGAAATGAAACAGCTTCACAGCATCAATGTATGGTGTTAACATCTATCTTTCCTACCAGGCAGCATACATAACACTTCCTTCTATTATTTCTCATAACATCTACCCTGTAAAACTTCTAGTATTTATTTCTGGCAATTTCTGACAAAACTTTATTCAATTTCAGGATTCTATTTAAATTTGCATTTCTATTCATTTGAATGCTCAAGGCAGGGTAATATATAAATGAAGCAGTTTATCACTGAGATGTGGTTAATATTTTCACCGAGAAAGTAGTAGCATTATGATAAACTACAGTATTTCCGAATGCTGCCTTCTGAACAGGCCACGTGGAATGTTTAACAGGGCACTAAGTGCAAATGAAAAACAAATTGTAGGAGTAGAAACACATTCTTTTATTAAGAGCTTTTGGTGTGGGTGCTGGAACTCTGCAAACAGAGGCAAAATAGAAAAAAAAACATCAACATATCAAACTGCACCAAAGATAAGCTTGTAGGTTCTAAATGATACTGTGTACTAGATATCATAAGTAGTCTGGGAAGAGAATGAAAACAAAACAAAAAAATTCTTTCTTGTTGCTGGCAAAATAATCCTATTTATACTTTTTTTGGTTTAGAAGAATGAAATCAATAAATAGTTTCCATGTATAGAATGCTTGAGAGATGCTTTAGAAAACTCCACAGTTATAAGATAAATATTGTAAGTTAATGGGTACTTTATGCAATATGGCTAATTTTTAATCTGCTAGCAATTGGACACCTACAGTATACCAGCCTTCCCCATACAGGAGAGGAAAGACCATAAAAGTTGTCATTGGATAATATTAACAAGATTGTGAAAAAGAGAGAGGTGATGAATTGACATAGTGGAAGGTAGAAAGCTACGGAGTGTAGAGTGATCAGTGTTGGTGTACACTAGATTGCATTATCTTTTTTATCTTTTTTTCTACAAGCTATATTTAATTTCTTTGACTTACTCTTTATTACTCATTTTCTGTGTTTTTGTATGTAATTGCATGAGGGCTATGCATGAACATAGCCCGTTGCATGTAATTTAGATTTTTTTTGCAGCAGCAGATCCTCAATGCAAGAGGGAAAAGATTCCTAAAAGAATTCACTAAATTGGATGCAGAGGCATATTGAGACCACACATACTTTACAAATATACAGAAGGGCTGAAATGATTCTACTATTTTGGGGTTTAAGTTTTAAAAAGTCTGCTACACGCTTATAGTAGAGTTCTACTTAGAGGGACAGCATTTCTGGTACTTTTCTGAGTTGGCCATAACAGCAGCTTGGAATTCTAGGAGCTAAAGCTTTATTAAGCCTGGTCATTTTTATAGCACATAATTTGTTAGTTTTATATGCAAAAAGTATGTATGTTTCTGTTAGTAATCAATTCCTTAAGGAAGCAGTCTGTCATTTATTTTTTATGGAACCATGGATTGGTTCTTTCACTGCCTTTTAATAGCAATCCCCAAAGTGCCTAATCTGAAATCGGTTATCATTTTCCTTTGCCTTTTCTCAATGTCCAGATTTCACAGCCATGCACTATTACAGGAAAACCATTGATGATCTTGGCTATGTTTGTTATTACCTTCCTATGCAGAGCTAATGCCTGTTTTATTCATCTAATGCAAAATCCATCTTTATCCCTGTTTGAGCTCAAGAAAGGAAAACTATCTACCACTTTCATTTCTTGATTGTTAACTGTAAATTTGCTAAGTAGGCTAGTGTATACCACATTTCACTTTTGGCTAATATTATACATTTTGCACATCTGAAATTGTTAATATTTCAGCTTTGATTACAGCTTTTATCTGTTCCAGTCCTGCAATTTTTATACTTGCTCTAAAATTTTAATATACAGGAGGGCACGATATAGTCCCTTTGCTATACTGAACCACTCTGTTTCTTCAGACTCATTTCTTATATCTTCTTGTTGATCTTAAATATTTCTTAGAAGAACAATTAGATTTCTGGCATGTCTTTAAGCTTTAATATAACTGTAGCATAACCATAGCATAAACGGTATCGTTAAAACCTGGTTGTAATTAATAAATGAAAGGTAACTCTTAAATTTTCTTGTTTTTTCCATTTATTTTATCTTATCTTAGCAACCTAAACTTATGTCCTTCTCTGAAACCTCCCTGTTCATTTGGCTTTTCTCTCTCTATGTATAGGTGTATTTTTCTTTGTAAAATCTTTCAATACAAAACTTTGCTTCCAGGAGCAATTAATGCAATGCCAAAAATGGGATATGTTGTTATTAATGCAGTACTTTAGTAACATCTTATTTCATTTTTGGCATAGGTCTGTAGACCACTTTTTCATATAATAACTCTGCTTGGAATCATAAAAAATAAATATATGTTCTAAATAAGAGCAAAGAAATCAAAAGAATACAAGCATTTCATTATTCTATACCGTTCAGTTTTCACCTGCAATTGCATGGTTAGTCCTGTAGCTATTCCAGCTACGTTATGTATAATTTAACTTGTAATTTCCATAATAAATGTGTTATTGTTAATGTTTTTATAATCCTTGTAAGAACTCAGCCTAATTCTTAAGTAAATGCTTCCTAAATGTTTTTCTTCATTATCCAACTCCACTTACCAGAAGATCCTTTTTACCCAATGTAGTTAAAGCATTAAGTCAGTTTAAATGTCCCTGCTGTGATTAAGTAATGGCTTCAAAGAAAAACTACTTTTACCCAATTTGGGTAATTTATCCAGGTTTGGAAGTCTTAAGTAATCAGTGCTTGCAGATGTACCCAAAAGTCCTGGATTTAAATCACATGTAGTCTGATGCTTCATATTAATAGAACAGCTAATACGAAGTCCTGCCCTTTTAAAGATCTTCCTACAAAAAGCTTCCTCGTGTGGTTCCATTGAGCCTACTGCATTCAAGTAGTTTATTTACTACAGTTTTAATGATCAGTCTCAGATGGGATTGCACTTTGTTATTAAATATCACCTATAATATAAGAACTTTCATGAAGTTTTCATGGATAACTGCTGTCCATACAATGTTCACAAATGAGGTTAAACTTTTAAGTTACAACAGTGTTGTAAACTTACATACTCTTCTTTGCAAAAAGACTGCAATAAAAGATACAATTGAAGACTGTATTGTACTTTGTTTTCCATGGAAAAATAAAATATGGAACATTTTATCTGAAACAAGAATATTGTTTGTTTATTTATGCAATTTATATGCCATCCATCTTGCTTACAATCATTAAGTTCCTGATATTATAATCAGAATATATCGAGGATATATAGAGAAAATAGAATAAGACTTATATTCTTATTTACTCTACAGTTTTTTATGTTTTAATATATTTCTTTGGTGATTTCTTGGCTAATGGTGCAAAGGACATTTTGGACTCATATTAGCAACAATGGGCTCCAGCCATGTTTATTTAACCTTCACTCTGTTGGACTGTTTACACGCCTGGAACATGTTCAGATTTCTTTACATTTCTCAGACTTTCTTATTTATAAGGGCTGGGGTTCTTGTGACCTCTCTATTCATACTCCCTTTACCCCCTGGCTATGAAAAGAACAAAATACCCACTGTCCTATTTATTTATGTTCAAATCTTTCAGTTGTTTAAAGGAGTGGCTTTTCAATTATAAATGAAAATGGTAACCAGATGTTTACAGACTATGCCAGCATTTTTCCTTTAGGCTTCTAATGCTTTTATTAGTTTTTGTTAGAATATTGGTCCTCTATTCTTAAATTTTTTAAAAAAACTTGCAAACAGTTTGCATTCAATAAACATTGCTTTAGTGTGTACATGACTGCCACTGAAAGTGTCTCTTATTTCCTCTTTTTCATACTACCTTATTTTTCCATATTTGTTAATTGATCAACATATAAAAAGGTAAAGGTTCCCCT